CTTGTGTCAGTAGATAGCAAGGAATTCAATAAGCTCATGAAGAGTATTTATGTAGGACGTATTGAGGAGAAGGATGTGAACGCACTGATGATTTATGAAGCGGGTCAGAACAAGAACTATCTTATGAAGTCAGGCATGAGATTCTTTGACGAAAGAGATGACATTTACAGCTATTTCAGAGGATATGAGTATGAGGTACTGAATGAAGTAGATGAAAGCGTTATTGAAGGATATTTGAAACATGTTCACGATGTCATATGTAATGAGGATGAAGAGCTTTATGAGTATGTTTTGAACTGGTTCGCCTACATCGTTCAAAATCCTTGTGGAAAGACTGGAACAGTACTTTTGTTAATAGGAAAGCAAGGAACTGGTAAGAATGTACTTAGTAATGTTCTATGCGAGCTCATTAGCAAGTACGCCAACAATAATATAACGGCAATAGAGAATGTGGTTGGTAGATTCAATGCTGCTATTGAGAACATGAAGCTCATCGTATGCAATGAACTAAGCTCATGCGATACGTCTAAGGTCATGAACCACGACGCACTAAAGTCAATAGTAACAGAGACTCAGTTGGACTTAAATCAGAAGTGTCAGCCAGTAAGAAAGATAGAGAATGTTTGTAATATCATCATGATATCTAACAACTTCAACTCAGTAAAGATTGACAAAGACGACAGAAGATTTGTTGTCATTGACGTAAGCAGCAGATACAAAGGAAATTACGAATATTTCTCAAATCTCATTGAAAGCTTTAATGAAGAGTTTTATTCAAACTTACTGACGTACTTCATGAAGAAAGATTTAAGTGAATTTGATGTAAGGAAGATACCATTCACCAGGGCTAAACAAGAACTCATCGAAATGAACAAAACACCTTACCAAATGTTTTACGAGGAGTTCTATGAAAAGTTTGTATCCGGATGGAATTGTACAGAGTGCTACAGAAGATATAAAGAATTTGCGAAGGAGAATGAATTCTTTGCATGTAGTTCAAATGTATTTGGTGGCAAGATGAGAGAATTTGTGAAGAGAAGTAGAAAGCGAGACGGTTCTGCAAGAAGTTATATTTACGAAGCAAGTATGTATTAGAAGGTCGTGGAAAGAAAGAAACAGTGAATTATGAGGAAGTGCTTGAAAAATTCATGGAGTACATGGGAAGCAATATAACATACAACAAAGACATATACAGTGAGTTTAAGTACTACTGTGAACAGCATGAGATTGAAGTAATGAGTAAAGGAGACTTTGAAACGCTTATGAAAGACAGTAAGGAGGTCGTTCATGAGAACAGTGTGAAATAGTTCATGAGAACAGTGAGGAGGTCATTCATGAGAACAGTGATGAAATAGTTCACGATGTCGTTCGTGAAGAAGCCATTGCAACAAAGAATGAGATAAAGGATTTCATAGAACTTAACAAGGAGGAGTTTAAAGAAGGCTATGAAGTGAAAAGATGTGAAGAAGATTTCTTGGCGTATTTGAAGAAAAAGAGACTAAAGCCAATGGCTCAAAATAAGTTTCAATCGATGTTTGAAAAGAAACGTTTGAGCTATGGTGGTGTAAGAAGCACATATTACTTTGTTAAGAAGTGAGGACATTTATTTTTGTCGTTAGTGTTGGAGTTTGTGTTTGTTGTTAGTGAGAGAATAAATTAAATCATGAACTTTGCCATGGTCTCTGTCCCTAGTAGTTTTCATTAAGTTCTGGAAATAATGAAAGTCATAAACTTTGCCATGGTCTCTGTCCCTAGTAGTTTTCATTAAGTTCTGGAAATAATGAAAGTCATGAACTTTGCCATGGTCTCTGTCCCTAGTAGTTTTCATTATCTCACAGAGTTAATGAAAGTCATACTTTCTATCAGATGAAGCATGCAGATGAACATAATGAAAGTTAGTGAGTTTGCCACGAGTTATGAATAAAATATTGGCATATTAGACGAGATAGCTGATGAAACAGATGAAGATAAATTAAATCTTGGACTTTGCCACACTCTGTCCCTAGTTCCTCAAAATCCTTGACAACGTTGCTTAGAAATTTTGGTTCAAAACCTCATCTGATTTTAATCTGTTATGCTACCTGTTAAGTTTCGCGAGATTATAAATGTCATGGAGTTATATAAAAAGGAGGGACAGCTAGGGACACTGGAAGTACTTGTAAGGCTATCTGTTAAGATTGCATGAAATACTAAAAAATCATGAAATCCATTATCGCTGTGCTAGCTTCACCTTAGAGTAAAATGACAAATAAAGTCACTGAAGCAATGAAACAAAAGTTTTTGGTATCATTACGGACGAAGAAGAAAGACAGTCAAGTTGGAGACAGACGTGAAGAAAGCAACTAAAAAGAAACCAAGGAAGAGAGTTATAAAGCAATGAATTCAACAGGGTAGAAATGAGGGTAGAAATGAGGTTAGATCTACCCTTCTACCCTAAACATTATTTTTGGACTATGTTTTCATACGTGTGAGGGTGGTGATATCATTAATTTTTAAGTTTATTTTTATATAAATGACAGAACAAAAATAAAGCATATCTACTCAACAGGAATGAGACCCTTACTGACTATGTATTCGTTTAATGCTTGATGAAAACAATGGTACATATTATCGTATGGGTATACACAACGTCTGTTTCCATCGTCGTCGTATATGTAGAGCTCAAATCCAGTCCAACCTTCTTTTGTACAATATGTAGCTTTATTTAAGTATGCATTTATGTAGATAAGGCAATTTTCTTCATCGCTCCAGAAATAATTTTTGTTCTTTGTTGAAATAGTTTTCGTTCCTCTGCGACCATAAGGAATGTATGCAATGAACTTTGCGTCATATGGGATTGTAATATATTCAGGGTTTCTTTCATCGTCAATGGGTCTGTCTTTGTTAAAATGCATGTTTCTCAGTTTTACTTGAGTTTTGAATAGTTCACGGAAACGTTCTGGGAAAGAGTCATAGTAAATGTAGTCGGACATGTCTTTGTAATGAAATAAAAAATTTAAAAAAAATAAAATAAGGTTATTTTTATTTAGTGAGGATGGTAGTGAATTCGTTAGTGAAGTCGTTAGTGAAGTCATTAGTGAAGTCATTAGTGAAGTCGTTTATGTGTCAGATGGTTTTGTAAATATTTAAGGTTAAGTTGGTGTTATGGTTGTGTTGTAAAATATACGTTACCGGTTTCGTAAAGTGTCAAAACCGCTAAGTGGTGTACGGAGGCGCGCAGTGCCACAGTACACGACTTAGGGATACTAACTTTCATTGTTTTTTAAAAAATATCTTTGCTTATTTGTTCACTTTTTTGACATTTATTATATGCTTTTTATCATATTTCCGATGATATGAATATATATTCTATATAAGAATGACGCTACATTCAATCTAAGACCAATATCTCAAAGAATTCCTTATTTAAGTATTACTTTTCATTTTTGATTCAATTTTCGAACGGTTTTCGTAAATTTTGCATCATTTCATTTTTTAATGGGAAAATCATATATATTTAATCAAAAAAGAGCAAACTTTACAGACGAAAATAAAATATTTATCAGGGAACAATCTGATAAATACCAAAAATCAACATCGAGACATGAAAAAACGAATATAATCAAACAAGTTCTTCAATATTTTAATATTAAATACGCCGAAAATGAATCTAAAGCTGTCAGAAGATATTTTAGTTATATTGCAGTTAAAAATATTCCCGCAGTTACTGGAAAATATCCTGATACAATTGTTCGCAAAGATATGCTTTATTCGCATGATCATACAAATATTATTAATTCAAATAATATTGAACGTTACTACCGTTGCATCGATCATTCTTGTCAAGCACGTTATTTAGTTAAAATTGAGAACAGTTCAGTTTCCGAAGATTTACAAAAGGAACATATACCCGAATGCAGACAATTTAAAAAGTTACAAAATGAAAAAAAATGATCTTCATAAATCAATGACTCTGACAGAAATATACAATAAGGCAATGGCAAAATTTTCTGAAGACAACGGCACTTTTCAGCAGATTAAAAAATTTATGACAGAACTTGCTGTTGGTACTGATGAAAACCCATTAATTAAAGATTCATTGGTCAGGGAAGTTTATAATAAGTCCAGAAAATTTTCTGTTGGAGAAAAAATTACAGACGAGAAAGGGACAAACTATCCAGTGTCACTTTTCAAAGGAATAAAAAAAATAATAAAGATGAAATAATAACATGAACTCTTATATAAATATAATTTTATCTAAATAGATAAATGAATTAAGCAGTTTACAGTTATATATATTTAATGAGAGACAATATCTAGTTCTATGGTAGAAATGACTCTTAGACTCAAATAAGTAACACAGATAGAAAGTACTCAGTATAACAATTATATATGTACACTCAAAGTTAGTCGCTGCTAAAATCTTAACCTTGCATTTCGGGAAAATCTGACTAATGGCTCTTAGACTCAAATAAGTAACACAGATAGAAAGTACTCAGTATAACAATTATATATGTACACTCAAAGTTAGTCGCTGCTAAAATCTTAACCTTGCATTTCGGGAAAATCTGAAATGGCTCTTAGACTTGTTTTGATAATTAATTCTTCAATTATATTATAATTTATAACAAATTTCCTCAAACTATCTGTATGTCATTCAATTCCCGGCCACTACATTCAATGATGGACCATTTCCTTCAAATTTTGAAATACCTTATTCAATTTGTTGTATGGAGCCCGTGATATTCAACACTATGGAGCTCCTCCAGTTTGGTATCCAAGAAGAGATAAAAGCTAGCATGGGCTACTCTCAAAAATGCAGGAAAGAATACTCCACGATCGAATACAAATGTAAGTATCCACAATGTCAAGCTAAATTCAAAGTCCGGATAATAGATCAAGATAAATATGAACTACTAATCCACTCTGACTCTCATGATCATTCTGCACCTCCGAAATCAACAAAAACAATATCCTCATTATTTGTCAGAAATTATCTTAAACATTACTTTGAAAACAATATGAATCATGCTACAGCTCAACTTAAGTGTTTCCAAGACTTAAATATTTCATATACAGACGAAGAGTTACTTTCAATATTTGCACAAGGTCCAGATGCATTACGTAAATTTGCTCAAAGAGCTGAAATTGTTTCCAAACGCTTTAGTTCGGATGAAAAAGTTTCTTTAGCTATCTTTGTCGAATCTGTTCAAGAAAGTTGTCCAGAAGATTTAATTGAATTTATCTCTGAGCCGGGAAAACTAGTTTTTTTATATGCACCTTTCGAAGCGAAGGCCCTTGGTCACCAAATTTCTACGTTTCACATCGATTCAACGTATAAACTTCTAAGGGCTAACATTCCATTATATGCACTCACAGGAAAAACAGAACATACTATTGTTTTTCCTTTTTTGTATTTCTTTATTTCTCCTGACACAAGCGAAAATATTCAATATTGTGTTTGTCGTTATTTTCAATATATTAATAGAGAACCCGAGATGATAAGTATGGACTGCGCCCCACAAATAGCCGAGGCAATTGAGCGAGGTATTCCAAACTGTCATATTCTTTGGTGTGGCGTGCATGTCCTTCGCGCCATATTAAGAAAAGCGGATAAGTTTAAATCACGAGACAATTTTGAAGAATTTTATAATCTAATGAAATTATTAGTATTCGATACTAAAGAAGAATCTCCCGAGGAAGAACAGAACCAAGAAGAAGAAAATCCTAGAGAGGAACCAGCTCAATCTCACTTACTTCAAGCAGAAGAAATTGAAGAAGAGGAACAATATGAAGAAGAATTCATCGAAAATGAATTTCAACCTTCTCAAATCTTTTTACCACGAGAATCTTCTGATGATCCAAACGATTCTGAATTTATTCCAGAAGAAGAAACGTTTGAAACAAGTGAAGAAGTTCCAGAGCACCTCACTCAAGAAGAAGCTGCAGACCTAGATGCAGTTTATGATCGAATTCTTGAAATTCTTTCCACTGAACCGAAAGCCCAAAAGTACTTCGATAGGCAATGGAGGCATCATTTAGATCGTTGGAATAAGCGCTATCGCAACGGAGGTGACGCGACTAATAACGTCAGTGAGTCACATTTCAAAGTTCTCAAGCATTCTTATTTCCCAGAGAGAAGGAATATTCGATTAGACGATTTTGTTGTTGAATTATACACAACGGTTGTTCCAGCATTATTGATTAAATTTAAAGTTCAATTAATCAATAGTGATAAAGTTGTTCGTATATTACGAAAAGCTAATGACCATGAACAAATATTGGAAAACAAAGAAGTCGAATGTTTGAAAATGCTTGAAGCAATATATTCAAGTTTGCAACAAGGATCAATAGATTCAAATCTTGTTTATTGTACTTTAAAGGTACTTTTAAAAAAGAAACAATTAATGTAAAAGATTCAAATAATTTTTTATTATTATTTTATTAATTTTTTAAAATAAGGTTAAAAAAAGTGACACTGGATAGTTTGTCCCACACTCAATTACAGACGATGAAATTGCTAATTTTTGTTTAATAAATGGCGAGAAGTTTTTCATTGGCCATGATTTTCAAGCAAATTGTGAGACGATGGTTTTTGGTTTTGAGAAGGCAATTCAATTTGCAAAAGAAGCCACAGATTTATTTTGCGATGGAACTTTTAAAATTACACCAAAACATTTTCAAAAAGGACAGATGCTAACAATTATGATTTGTGAACCTTCAACAAATCAATATCTACCACTTTTATTTATATTCATGAAAAACCGCACATTTGAATCTTATAAGAAGGCATTTGAATATATTTTTACTGTCAAGGGTATTCAATTTTCAAAGCTAATTCAAATTCATTGTGATTTTGAAAAGGGAATGATAGAGGCACTTCAACAAATTTTCCCTAAAGTCCGTATAATTGGATGCCTATTTCATTTCAAACAAGCTTTACACAGGAAACTTGTAGCACTTTATACAAAAAATTTCAATGCTTTACAAAATTCTTTATTTAAGCTATATTCTATTACTCCATTCATGTCTCATGAAGAATTTGTACTTACAATGCATATAATTAATCAAAATAAAGTTGATTCGATCAAAGATTATATTGATTATTTCAACAAAGTTTGGTTGCCGCACTACAATTTAATATCTCAATATAATAATGCAATTGCAATATTCACTAATGATTGCCTCGAGAGTATGCATTCAGAATTTTCTTCGTTAAAACATCCAAACATTTATGAAGCTATTAAGAAGATATCTCAAATCCAATTAGATAAATATAACGCCATCAAAAATAACCAGAAGATCGAGCGCCATATAAAAACCGTTATCACTGATAGCTACAAAATTATATTCTTGATTGCTTTCAAAAAGAACTTGAGAAAACAATTTTTTCTATCAAACAATACAACGTAAGTGATCTTTCTTTGGCTCAGAACGAGATTTCTCCATATGGTTCCATAGAATCGAGTTCATTGTTCGAAAATATTCCAGTTCATGATGCAGATATACTCAAATCGATCGATCTAACAGATAAAGATACAATGATCACTAAGTTTATTAATGAAAAAAAGAGAAAAAATTATGGCATTATTTAATGAAACATTAAATCATCCAGATTTTAATTCATCCACTCCAATTCAAACTAATTTTGAGCAAGCCGATACAAATCAAGGTTCAGATGCTCCGATTTGCTCCGAAAATTCAAATATTGCAGACTCTACAGATTTAGAACCAGAAAATCAAAACCATCCTTCTACAAATCAAATATCTAGTAATCTAGAACATAAGCTGGACCTTCTTGATCATATTGAAAAACAATTATCGAAAATGCGCTCGTTATTGGGAATTCTTCCTACTACAAATGCTATTGTTGGGCCGTCAAAACAAGTTTCAGTTAATAGCAAGCAAAATTCTGAAAAAAATAAGAAAAAATCTTCCATAACAACAAAATCAAACAATAAAAAACAAAATTCATCCGACAATCCTCCTAAACGTAAAGCTCCTATTTCGGAAAGGATTCTCAGCGATAATAACTTATATTTTCAAGTTCATCGAAAGAGATCGAAAAGCAAACGTTCCACATCTACAGAGAAAAAGAATTGATATATGAAGTCTAATTCCTTTTATAACTACTATATTTTTATTCTTATGACTAAAAAATAATATATTATTTAACAATTTTCATTTTTTTCTTTTAACAATTTCGTTTTATTTCCATTTATTGTTAAATGATTTTTAGCATACACCTTTCTTTGTTCATCTTCTAAATACAATTTATTTTTTCTTAGATATAATTCTATTCATTCAATTCGATCGTCATTTTTCAGTACATGATCGTAATTTTCAATTATTGATCGCGATTTTACTTCAGAATTTGTTCGCAATATTGCTTATCAAAATTATATCTCTATTCTCTCATTTCTGTTTAGTCAATATCATTACACTCCTATTGTCTAATAACATGCTATTAATTTTCTTAAAATTAAAAAAAAAATATCAACTTTTAAAAACAGAAACTTAACATCCTTAGGTCAATGGATTTTGATGTGAGATACATTTAATCTGTTTTTCTTTTTTTATTTTAAATAATTGAATATTTATAGTTGTTATGGGTCTTACATCATGTAAAACGAATTTTCTGAAAGTAAATTTACTTTTTCTTCAATCTTTCTTACATATTTATTAAAAAAAAATTATCCAAAAAAAGATGTTTTAGAATGAAAAAAATAGAAAAATCTTCATTTATAGTCTTTCTTGAATGTATACGTTTTGATTTTTTTCTTTTTTAAAAAATTCAATTTCTAGAAAAATCGAGAAAAAATCATTTTCTTCTATTTTTTTAGGACGCCATACCCATTGAAATCTCCTCTCAGGACGCCATAAACTATTCAATTATGGTGTAAACTTCTCAAAAATTGAATAGTTTACATCAGGACGCCTTAGGACGCCAAACCTTTACGCGCCCAGACAAAACCATCTAGTTCTTGATAAATAACAGATGAAATTGCAAGATGATATTAAATAGATGTTGTCCAGCTATATAGGTTAATCTTTGAACTTTATTTTCGATATTGATTTTATCATCTAAATAAGTATTAGGTTCGCTCTTAAGAATGCTTGTCCCAGTACTTAAAAGACAAAGATTAATGTTCCACCAAGATTATTCCTCTTCTTGACGAATTTTATATTAACCTTTCATATTATCAATTAATATTTCCACACATCTCTGCTATATATGTCTATTGTATTCTGCTATTCCAAAGAGAATTTTACTTGAACGATATAAAATTACGAGTTTTTTTTTATTGATAAAATACAATTATAGTGAAACATTAAAAATCCAATTTATATAATCTGATTATATCTCACTTCCATGTATATATACCCTATATTTCCAACTCTTGGAAAATTTTCATGACCCCCTACCCAGGGTCCTAAAATGGGTATTTTCCTCACACAGACACCGTGGTTTTTTGAGCCGGGAAATAAATAGCGCAGACAGTTTCTACATATAGAGACATGCTTATACTTAGAGTTTGACGGGAATCTAAAGTGATTTTTTTCTGCATCGCGAAATCTAATGCAATCTCAAAATCATGAAGAAACTGCGAATCGGAGCGCAATTTTTTAATATGTTAATATATAAAGGTACCCCTACTACTGCAAATGCTTCAAATGAAAATCTAAGAAATCAGATTAATTTGATCACATTAGTATAGTATTGGTCAAACCAAAAACTCATATGTTGATATATAGCCTATGGATATTCATATTATCTACTTTTCATTGAATTACATAAGATTTAATAATCTCATAAATATTCTTTTTAATTTTCCGAATTCCGTGTGCATTTAGATTGCCCATACCTGTATATAATAATTCTAGAATGGTTTGGTTAGATATTAAGTTTTTTAGATTAATATTTTAACATTTTGATAAAACAAGCATTTGTTCCATTTTAGAATCGCCATTGAACTCTGGTTTGACTAACATGATGTTGTATGATCAAATAAATTCTAACTTCATGAGATAAATTTTGAAATTAGAAAATGCGATATCTGACTCAAATATTTATCTGAACACATTTAACATTCAATGATAAACTAAAGTACTATACAGCAGATTCGATTTGGCTTATATTTTATATAATCAACTAATAATCCTATAAAATTGTGCTATTCACGTTGCTCAAAGATGTATTGAACATTCACTACTTGTGTATTGATAAAATTAGATATAGATTCTAATGTAAATCGATATTTTGAAAATTCATATATTTTGTCTTGGTTTGGCATTTGATCGTGTTGAAACCGGAATTGCAATATATATCATCTAAATATATAACTATC